AATGCAGCCTTTTCTGATTACTGAAAGAGAATTTATCTCTGGCTTTAAATGGCTCTTGCTCAAACATCCAAATCTCAGGACTCCCTTATTATTGCTGCTATTAATTAGGTTAAACTTGAAAACTGTACTATAGCTTTTAAAGGGTTTTCTCAGTGATCACCTCACATAAATCCCACAAAAATCTGTGAGGTGGGGAGGTCAAGTATCATCATTGCTTTGATGACTGATTCCTGACTGATGTCACAGCTAAACCACATGGCACTCCACTCACACAGTCCACATCTGACTTATGTGTGTGTCCAAGGGCTGGTCAGCTGCTATCTCCTCATTTCAATGTGCTCTGTTTTGAACCCAGAGAACCATGTCATTTGGCTCCAGGGAGCAACCATTCCCAGTCACCTAAGAGCCAAACCTAGAAAAGCACTTGCCCCAGAACTATCTAGAATGTCTACTCAAAATGCAGTCCTAAGCCTCACTCAGGACTGAATCATAATCTGCCTCTTTAGCAAACTCCTCAGAGGATGGTCACACATCCTCATGTTTAAGACTCACTGCCATATAGAGAAAGGCTTACAAAGCAGAAACAGTCGGACGCCAAATCTGATGATGAATGTCACAAATCCCACAGACTCACATTGAGAAGAATGATCTTTCAATTTTTATTTTCACATCAATGATCACCTTAAGAGATTACTCAGGAACATTCTGGGTCATTCAGCACCTTACGTGACAGTCATTAGACCCGCTCATAAACACTTTGATTCTCCTCAGCATCCTCGCACGCAGTAGGAGTACACTTCTTTAACCTCTCTGAGGTTGGCTATGGCCACATCAATGTGCCGTGAGTCCAGGTGGAAGACTTAAGAGCCAGTGGGGATTCACCACACCTTCTTCCCCTAGCCATGGAAACCTGGGAGGCACCCACCAAGGTAAGAACCACCATCGGCCAGATCCTGACTACCTCGAACACAGCCCTCCTGCTGGACATGCAGCAAAGCAAGAAATAAACTTGTGTTGCTTTAAGCCACTGAGATTCAGAGACTATTACTGAAGCATAAGCTAATTCTTCTAACTAATAAACCTTATCACCAAGAACTATACCACAAAGATTGGGCAACTGAGGTTGCCTTTGTGTTCATGATCACAAAGGTTTAGATTCGTGAGAGAAAAAAAGAAAATGCAATCCAGAAGAGAATCTGAGGTCATATGAACAAATTCCTTCATATATAACTTTTAACAATGACATAGAAAGAAAGAGAAGATCTGAATAACCTATAGCCACTAAAGAAACAGAATTTTTTTTTTTAGAGACAGTCTCATTTTATTGCCCTCAGTAGAGTGCTGTGGTGTCACAGGTCACAGCAACCTCCAACTCATGTGCTTAGGTGATTCTCTTGCCTCAGCCTTCCAAGTTAGCTAGAACTACTGGTGCCTGCCACAAACACCCAAGTATTTTTTTGTTGTAGTTTGGCCGGGGCTGGGTTCGAATCCACCATCCTTGGTATATGGGGCTGGTACTCTACCAACTGAGCCGTAGGCACTGCCCAAGAAACAGAATTGTAATTTTAAAACTTTCCATAAAGAATATTCTAGATCCATCATGATCCATTTCAACATCCCTGATGAATGAGATCAAACATTTAAGGAAGAAATGATAACAATAATGTATAGAACTTTCAGAAAATAGGAAGAAAAGAATGATTCCTAGATTGTTTTATGAAGCCAGCATAACCTTGATGCCAAAAACAGATAAGGACATTACAAGAAAATTATAGATCAATATCCTTCATGTACAGGACATTAGCAAATTGAATTCAGCAATATATACATTAGGGGGAAAATATCATGACCAAATGGAATTTATCTCGGTAATACAAGGTTGATACGAAAAAAAAAAATCAATCACCATGATACAACACATTAACAAGTCAAAGGAGAAAAACTGTATTATCCCAATAGATACATAAGAGACCTGTGACAAAAATCAACACTTATTCATGATAAAAATTCTCATCAAACTAGGAATAAAAGGAACCTGTGGCCTTGGGGCCACATGTGACCTTCTGGATCCTGAGTACAGCCTTTTGAGAAATTCTGGACAAGAGGTCTCCTGCCCAGAGAGCAGAGTGTTTTAAGAGGGAGAAAATGGTCCACAGCTGAGGGTGAGAAAGAAGCGAGCAGAGACACACCCACAGAAGTCACCAGTGCCCTGAGAGCAGACTCGCCGGGTCACTCCACTCTTTACTTTCCCTAACATGTTCCTAGGGTGCCTGTCGTACCACTACTTCACATATCTCCATTCTAGAACAAAGCAAACCAACAAATTAACAAGTTACAGAAAAAGGCGAAGTTTACTGAATAGGCCTACTGCCTGATTCTCAACCTATGGCTTGCATGTTTCTATTTAATACAGAAGAAAGTACAGAGTTTAGAACAAAGCCAGTGCTCGATGACCGTTTACTGACTGAGTTAATCAATTTTTGTGCCCGACCCTGTTTAACAGTCCTTCTCTGCATGGGGTGGAGATCACTGAACTCAAACTGAGTCCACCCCCACTCAATCTCAAGGACTAGTCCTGACGTTGGGCAGGAAGGATTTTAACACGACAAGGAAGCTCAACAGGCTTTCCTTCACGTTGCTGATAAGAAAATTCAGATATCTGTTTCTCTTTCGCCACATCACTTAAAAACGTCCAGACAAGTTTTCATCAAATTTGGTGGCTGTTTGAGATGCTCTGACTTAAATATGAACTCTGAAACTAACAAGAAATTGATTTCAGGAGAACCTAAAGGACACTTCAAAAAGATGGCTTGCCAGCTTAAACACAGCAACCGCAACTGAGGAACAAAAAGACACATAAGCACCTATTGATTACACAGATTAAAATGCCATAAACCAAATAATAAAGAGAGGTTTCAAACACGTGGTGCAAATTATTCATAGGATAGATAATACCAATTGCAGGCCATGAAAGGCAGTCAAGCTGCTTCTCGGAGGACAGCTCCAAGCAGTATGCTCCAGGCAGAGGAGAGCAGAGATTCAATGATTAAATGCTTGTGAGTCACTTATTATAGCTATCAATTTTTGTGGAATTATTATGTGCCGGACATTTGCACAACAAGCCCACAAGGGAGAAATTATTGTTATCCATAAGTTAAAGATGAGGAAGGTGGGATTCAGCAACATTAAATGACTCTGCAGAGTCAATCAACTAGAAAGTGGCAAGTTCAATCTAGGTTGTCCAATTCCTGGGCCCAGCCTGATCTTGAACTTCTGTTATGGTAGGAGGACTCCCCCTTGTCTTTCAGGCCTGAGCTGTATGCAAGTCCAAGTTCCTCTGGGCTTAGGACTTTGCCTTCAGCTTCCTCTGTAACATCTCATCCACCCAAGGGAATTAGAATCCCACCTGCACTATCCTCAACCACTTATCTGCTCATAGGCTTTCCTGCACCCTATCCTAAATGTACAGTTTTGCTATAAAAGCTTAATCTTCAGCAATTTGCCTACACTCACTAAGTATCAAGAATAAGTTGTATAAGTAAAAATATAACACAAATCTAGTTGAAGAATCACAGTTAGATAAAGAATTGTACTTTAGGCCAAGAGCCAATTCATTCTGTCCTACCTCTTTCTAATAAACATAGCAGAAATAATGGAAAACAATGTCTGCGGAAACTAATGTCTGACAAAATTCAGGGAGACAAATATCCTTGCCCATAGTAAAGCAGAACACAAATCTCTGAATTTAGTGTACAAGGTTATTAATTCTTCAAGTACAAAGAGGCATTATAATCCGATTCCCTTTTAGGTATACTTCTTGTTGCCAATGTCAGCTCAACATAAATTTTCAAACCAATTATGACAACAGATGCACTTACCCTTCTAAATGAAAATCTAGGAAGAACTGAGAGGTGACAGATATCATTTGCATAGGGCCTGTCTGGTCAATAACAGTAATTGCCAGTGGGGTGTCAGTAAACACTTAACAATTGGCTCTCTGGAGGAAAAGGCTGTGATTTGTAAATAGTCCCTCCATGGCATATTTCAAGCTACTAAAGAGGCTAATAAATACCAAGTAGGGCAGAAATGTACAGGAACAGTAAGCGTAGATTTTCTCCCACTGCCTGGCATTCACTAATATTCACTGATGACGTACTATGTGCCATGACGTTCTAAGTGCTTTATAGTCATCCTCTTTAAACTCTGACAACAGACTGATGGGACAGGTACTACTTTAATTAATTAATTAACTAGCCAAAGTTCACACAGCTCACAAGTGTTAAGAGCTGGCATTTGAATCCTGGCAGCTGTGTTACTCACAGCCCATCTTTAAGCCTGCCTGCCTCCACAGATTGGTAAAGAAGGTATTCTGGTTATCCCACCCCATCTTACAGATGAGTGTTGCCAATGAGTAAAGAGAGGGCTCTGAGATAAAGACGACTGACCCACATCAGCCAGGAAGGGGGCTCTGTCCTCACTTCTAGTAAATTTCATCTTGTCCTATAAGTTCCCTCTTCAGTGGAGCCTTTCCCAACTCCCCAGAGTTGTCACTCCCCAAGTACTTTTTTTCTTACAAAATTTTATTTTTTCCATTATACAATAAATACATACTCAGAGACTATGGAAACTATTACAAAGAATAAAATCTCTTATGGCCCCACCTGCCACTCAGAGCATCCATCTGTGTTTGTGCTACTGGCTTCCATCCCTCATACAATGATTCTCTACTCATGGGTGAGCTCCTCCTGGGAAGACAGCAGTCTCACCTATATGCACATCCAGCTTTCGCCCCATGCCCACCCCGTCTCCATCTCTACCACAGCACCCAACACACAGCTGCCTCCCAGTTTATCCAGTGCTTTGGGAAACTCTTGAGCTTTTATGTTCATCTTCAAAGGTGCTCTAATCTTAACTAAAGTTGGTTTTCCTGAACACATATTGCTACATTCTTCTCCTGAGTGGGGCAGACAAAGGCTCCGCTAGCAGGCATCTTTCCTTACCTGCATCCCCTTCATCATCTGGAACCGGGCGATGGTGTCGCTGATGGTGTAGACACGCACGTGGCCCATATGCAGCTTACCGGAAGGATAAGGGAACATGGAAAGCACATAAAACTTGGGCTTTGATTTCTAGGAAAGAATGATGATGAATATTTATTAAGCATTTTCTGGGAATGCAGGCATATGTAATATTTTAGCATTTTACTCAAGGTAATACTTTAACATTTAAAAATGTCCTTTAAAAAGAACTGTTCCTATTATGTAAATTGACAAAAATGTCAAAAACCAAAATTCAAAGCCCTACTTTAGGCTAAAGAACGTCCAAAATGATGCCAAACAACCTCTAAGTGCTAATTAGTTATATACATAAGGTGTCCATAAAGTTCGTGTGTAATTGCACACAAACTTTATGGACAGCCTGTATTTTTAATTTTTTTTCTCTTTAAAAGCTTCTCTTTTAAGATAGCTTCTATCTAGGTCTTAAAGAATTAAAGAACTATCTGTTTTTCCAAATGAAGCTCTAAGTCTAACACATATATTCATGTAATTCAAGGAAACGGTAGTTGAATCACATAGATGTGACATCTCTAAAATTGGAGCCTCTTCTTAAATTCCCTTAAATTCCCTATCGCTGTGTTCAGACTTAGATTCAGCAGTCAGAGCAAGATCCTGAGATAACTAGTTTGGGTCCTGAGTTTCCCCATAGAGTGAGCTGCTCTTTCAACAGAAAACGTTGAGATGGGAAGATAATGAGGAGATATTAACCAAAAAAGACAGAAGGTTGTTGTTTTCCATGGGTAGTAAATAGGCAGCCTCACACCAGGGTGTATAACTCTCCAGCTTCCCAAGAAGCAGCTTCATCCTGAGGATCACAGAAAACTATGCACAGAATGAACACTGGGTAGTAAGGACTGAAGGGGCTGCTGACTTTGGCATCGTAGGCCTTCCACTGGTAAAACGGTGAATGTCATCATGAGTTTGTGCACATGAAGCCTCCAAAAAGGAGTAGTCATTGAATCAACTCTTTATTGGGGGCACCTTTGTTCAAGAGCAAGGACTGCTTTAACCTCCTCCTTTGCACACACACCCCCACCCAAGCAAGGGGTTAACAGATGTTGGATAAATGCTTGTTGGCCTTTGTGCTCAGAGCCTGATAACAGGCCCCTGTAAAGTACTTTTTAGCAAAGACATTTTACCCCAGCAAACTGTCCAGGGAAAGAAGGATTCTCCCTTCCCAGACTTAAGCACTCTCACACCAGGGCAGAGGGGGCTCTGAATAAAGGGAGGACAAGAGGTAACTACTCCTGCTATTAGCACTGTTTTATTTATTTGTCACCACCCTCTGTGTTTCTCTTTCTGGCCTTACTCCTTTCCCGGAGATTTACTAGACTTCTTTAAAAATTTGCTTCCCCTGGTTAGTGTCTGTGGCTTAGGGGGTAGGGCCCCATATACCAAGGGTGGCGGGTTCAAACCTGGCCCTGGCCAAACCACAACAAAGGTGGCGCCTGTGGCTCAAAAGGGTAGGACGTCGGCCCCATATGCCAG